GCAGTCGCTGGCTGGACATGCTGCAGGAGTGACGCCTGGACGGCTGGTGGAAGGTGCAGTGGGCTCTGGCCTCCCCGAACTGCAAGCCCGGGGTTTGCAGAAGTGTTTGAGAGAAAGCTGGGCAGTGAAACAGCTCTTTGCTATTTTTATCCTTGCACCAGCCTGGGGATTTCAATTGACAGGATTAGTTATGAAGGCAATATTATGAGTTTAACTATGAGTGAAATAACACAACTTCTGTGGGAAGCGGACTAAAAGAGGCAATTATACAGTAGTTTAATAACAACGTTCTGCTGGCTTGAAAACTTATAGTTGACAGTAATTAGGTTTTTTTCTTTCTTCCTATTAAATAGTTACAAAAATTAAAATGGAAATTCATCTGATCGATTTTTATTCTATGCTGTTTCCATCATCCAGTCCATGTCCGTTTAGCCTTCAGGTTACTATTATATATGCTTTTCAGTGTCTGGTGTTTAAGACAGGAGTTAAGTGAGACTTAAGATGGAAAACAAGCATGGCAACAATAATTAACAGCCCTAATTAATGGCCATCAACGGAGCCACAGGAGTTATTCCAAATCATTTAAGATTACAGTATGAATGAGCTGGTGTTACAAACTGAGCACTCTTTGGCCTAATGTTTACTATATTGAACCGTGTATGACTAAACTGTCATGGGAAGGAGGGAAAGGGTCCCCATCATATGATGGGTTTGATCTGCGCTGTAGTGTGACTTTTTGGGCCCACCTTAAGGGTTGTGCTGGTCCGTTCCAGAAGGTGTTTGTCAGCTGGCAAAGACCTAGACTCGTGCTACTTTGAGCAAGAATTTGTGCAATGTCTGCAGGTCTGTGGGGCCACTTTTCTACTAAACATCTCTGCTCCCTGCAGCTCCCATGCTGTGATGTGCACCAGCGTGTGGGCAGGCTGTGCCATCCTTGGTTGCATCCCGAGTGATGTTTAGTTGTCGCCTACCCTGCTTTCTAGCCCTGTGCTTCCTTTTTCGATTCTAGGCAGCCTTTTTTCTTGTGCCATAAAAGTTTGAATTACTTTAGTGCGGCTGTTTCCAGACTTGCAGAGTAGAACTTGATGAGCCAGCAGACGTGTGGCACTTCAGCCTCTTGTGATCCTAGCTTGAAAGCGCTGCGCGGCGCGAAGCGAAGCGCTCTCGGGCTCGCGCTCATCCTTGACAGCTTGGGATGGGAGGTTTGGTTGGAGGCTAGAAGTGTTTTTCCTCCTCTTCTCCTTTGTTTTACATCGCAAAGGAGCCAGGTGCAATAAATGAGGTCTCGGTGCTGCTCTCCTGATGAGGTGGCACAGGGGACCGACTGTGAGGTCTTGCAGCTCTGCTCATGCCTCCCGGGATCTCTGACACAGGCAGTAAATTCTCTCCTCCGCAGCATACAGAGCGCGCGTTTTATTTCCTGTCCTCTGCCAGGGCAGGAACCTCACAGTTCAGCTGCACGCGTGTCTTTTAGCTTTAAAACACCCTGGAGATGCCCAGAGCCATTAGCAGGGCAAAGGCTACCTCCAGGTACGCTGCTACGCTGCTTGCTTCTGCCTGTTGACAGAAATACACCATGCTTTTGGCAGATGCAAATGCTCCAGATGGTACTGAGAAAAGTGCAAATGAGAGATCTGAGTCCTGCCCCTCTTCACTTCCATAAACCCCGTTCAGCTCTCCAGCAAGTCCTTCCTTTTAAAACACATCGCTCCTCATTCCTCCTACCCTGACTCCATGCCTTGAGCTAACGACCTCTGGCTGGTCCTTGTGCAGAAGGAAGGAGCCCCCCTGCCGTTGCAGTCCTCTGCCGTCCAACACACGTCACCCTCATGCTCAGACCATCATCTGAAAAACTTGGATGTCATCCACCCATGCAGCATGTGCACCTGCCTCAGGCCGAGGGCCAGTTCTGGAGCTCGTGGTGGGGCAGATGGGCAAAGAAGTAGCTCGTGGGGTCTCAGCGCCTTGCACCAGTGGGGTGCAAACCTGCAGCCACCGCGTAGGAAACATATCCCATTTGCCAGGCGGTTGCCTCTGGGCTTGGTGAACCCTATGGGCAACTGGACTCACCTAAATTTGGCTTTATGTCAGGCAGAGAGAAGCTGTCGTCTCTGCCATAGCTCTTTTCGGTGCTCCAACATCATAAGCTGTGTGCGCTCCGACATCATAAACCGTGGTGATGCTTGTACAGCCTCCGAGTCACCACCCTGCATTAGCTTATTCCAACATATTTCCGTGTTATAAAATTAGATGCATTTGCACATTGCTACTGCACTAGCAACTGAATTAAAGGATGGGTTTTTGGGGTGTTTTTTTTTTGTACTGGAGTAAATCGGGAATAAGTCAACAGATTCAAGCCCTGAGTGCTTTCAGCAACATGCTCATTTAAATTGGATGCGAGAGGGTGTCTGTGTTTACATTTGGCCTGCCAAGAATCTCTGTTTCAGAAACTGGCTTACATAATATGTCAAAATTGGTTTACTCATTAGCATTGCAAACGGCGTGAAACAAGCCGCAGATTGATAAACTCTCAGCAATATTTGCATCCCAAGTCGAGCGGCGCAGGGGGAGGGGAGGCTCATTAGGAAACGTTTCATTTCCACGAGAAACGATTTCCAGTTCTATCTCAGACCTGGTTAATTCTGTGTCTTCCCAAATTTGAATCAAGATTGAGAGGGGAAGTGTGAAAATCACTTCTGGCAATCGGGCAACCCCTTTTAATGCATCCTGGGCTGCTGAGTTGTTTGCGGTTCCACGTGGGTGAGTTACCCACTCCCACGGGCCTGCTGTCCTGGAGAGCCAAAGTGTTCCCAGCGGGATGCTGGCCTGGTTCGGGAGCAAACGCATCCCTATCAGCTCTGCTGGCCATGAACCTCCTGCACACAGGGATTAAGTCTGCTTGGGCCCTTGAGTGATGTAGCAAAGCTGGCTGGAATCCGCCGGATATGTAGAGCTTTGTGGCAGTATCTAAAGGAGTTTGTGGCCCAAATCCCACAAAGCTTTTCAGTTGGCTTTGAAACTCCCAACTTAAAAATCCCAAGTAGAAAGCTCTGATACAGTATTGAGAGAGGCATGTCAAAACAAAGCTGGCAATGGCAGAGGCTGTTTCTATGCTTGGGGACGTTGAGTGCCATGTTCAATATTTCAGATTTTTTTTTTTTGCAAAAGAATCTAATAAAGCAGAAGAAAGCACCAGCCTGAAGTGCTGCATGATGCGCCGCTGCAGCCTGGCACGAGCGTTTTGCCTCATCACCAGCCACCAACACGTCCACCTTCAGCAATGATAGGCCTGACCCGGGTACAGGGTGTCACCAGTTTGGAAGAAATCTGACCCTGGTCTCCTCACATGGTGGAGTCTGTGTTAGGGCATCGCTTGGAGGAGAGTGTGACAGGATGGTCACTGCCTGCTGTGACCTATTCTGCTCTAGCTGAACCACGTCTTCCACCCCATCCCATTTGGGTGCCAAAGCATTCACCTTCCGGAGGGCTTAAAGATGGTAACACCCAGGGCACATCTGCCAAATTACTTGAACGGGTGTTTTTCAAAGCTGAAATTACTGAAATATTGAATTATCAGGTTAATCCAGTCTCCTTTGCTTTGTCTCCAGGATGTTCCCTATCCATTCCAGCTCTCATCTCACCATGCAAATCCCAAGGCAGCCAAAAAAAAGCGAACATGCTCAAATTTTGCTGTGTAGCGAACTGCTGTTATCCAGCAGGAGTTTCTGTACACCAGTATGTAACGTCTGTCTGCAAATGAAAGAGAAACTTCTGCTGAATTCACCTTGTGGTTTATCTGTTAAGTCATAAGCATCTGCATATATTTCTTGGAGAAAAGAGGGTGAAATGCTGATATACCGAGGGATGATAAAATAGCATGCTGGGTGATTCAGTCTCCGTTATGTCAGGCGCTGTGGTCGGATGCCGACTCTCACACAGGTAGAGGGAGATCCCCACAGCCTGAACCGTGGGCCAGGCTCTTTGCAGCAAGAGAAGGATCCATGCATTCATTTTGTGCTCCTAATGTACCAAAATCCTGAATGTGGAGCCTAAAACCCTTCTCACAAAGTGGTTTTACAGTGACAGGGACTTGAGTCTTTGTGCTGCCCAAGACAGATAAATGTGACTTTTTTTCCAGGGAGGCAAAGGAGTATCAAGTAATGAGGAGGACTAATTTTCTCTGGTTCTGGAGAAGATCTTTCCAAAGACCTGGCATGTCTTTGCTACCTGTGTGTCGTGCTCACAAGCAGATGCCTGTACATCCTGGTGATGAGTATCCCACCGTCTAGTAGGAGGTTTTTGTCTCCCTCTTTCCAGCACATAGGTCCACAGCAAAGGTTTTGTTTGGGTAAATTAACAGAATTTACCCCTCTTCTGGCAGAGGAACCCGTGGGTACCCCATGGGTTTGCTTTGATATACAAAAAGAGGAAAAAGTTAAAGTCCCAGGAAGATGCTGTTAATGTCCAGCCCTGTGAGAACTTCAGTGCACACTTAAATACATGGGAAGTGAGGGCTCTTTTCCCCTCTCTGAACGGGCTCTTTGCAGTAGCTGCTGCACAGATTTATGAGACCCAGTGAGAGGCATACTGTGGACATCTGTCAAAACATAATAAATAGCCCAGGAAGCCCCCTAAAACCAGGCAACAAGGAATTCTGCACCCATGACAGCTTGGAAATGTCACAGATTCAGAGGATGCTTAATCTTTGTGCAGGTTCAGCCCAGAACCGTGAAGTGTTCCTTTCCCTGTAGCACGTTCCTCCAAAACGAGGCACTTCTGCATTAGCAGCAGTGAGGAATGGGCTGCATCTCGCAGCCCTCCGTGGTGCTACCTGCAGCGAGCAGAGCAGGGAGCTCCTCGCCGAGGGCAGAGCACGCGATTTCTCTCCCTAGACTGCGGGTAGTCGCCGTCTAATAACATGACCGTTTTGCCATTGCTCCGCAAATAAGGCTGGGGCTGCTGCCTGATTGGTATATCATCTCACTTTCTCTCAGCATTGATTTTCTTGCTCTCCTTATTTGCTTCATAAAAAGAGAGACAAGGAGCTGGTGCTCTCGCGCGCGCTCTCGCTCGCTCTCTCTCTCTCCCTCTCCTGTGAGAAGCTTTTGGGAGCCTTTATTTTTAGTATGAGACAAACCTTGCTTTATTTCAGGAGACACCAGTTGGATTATAAATCCTTTTGTAAATGTGTATGGTGATATTTGCTCCGGTAAGTTACATGCATATGTATTTATTTGTGTAACTGTTTTGTTTGGGGGAGAAAGGAGGGGTTTTTAGTAATCATGAAGCCCACCAAGTTGTTTTTTTTCGGTTTGGCTTTCTCTGTACTCTCATGCTGTGCCCAGCTGTTCCATGTTTTTTATATACAGTGAAATATTTTCGTGTTGTATTTTGCTTTGCAGAGGGGGGTGCCTGTTCGGAAAACTTGCTTTGCGCTTCATTTCTACAGCAGCAATGTGCAGTGAGGATTAAGGGGGAAGGAATTCTGATTTACCAAGTTTCTTTAATCAAAAGCTTCAGAAAAAAGAAAATAATGCAGCAATGTTTAATAGCAAAAATTTCAGGAACAGCTGGCTAATATTGATCAAACTGAAGTGCGAATATCTGCCTGCATATTACCTGAGAAAGATCAATCTCAAGTGTGGCAGGTGGGCAGGAACACGCTCCTGCGCAACATGTTCAGGAAAATCTTTGCAGTGATGAACGAAACAGCTTTCTTTCCGAAGTGCAGGATCGCTGGGACGGGTCAGGGACTGTTGCTTTGCCTTGGGGGCTCTGCACAGCTTGGCAGCCGCGTTCCTCGGCATCCTTGGCTAACTTGGAGCCTCCTGGTTACCTGGAAATAACGGCGCGATGTGGTTATTTATCGCACCCGGAGCAGCTCCTGCTCTGCTTTCCAGGCAGCGCAAGGCAGTGATGGTGAGAGGACAGCTGGGCAAAATAAGATGCCGAGCTGTGATGCTTTCAGGTGGCATAATAAATATTTGATTTTGCAGCATTATATTCATTTTATTGGCACTTTGGTTCTTTCCCACTCGAATCACATCCATGGGAGTTGATCTCTCTGGTGTTTCAGAAGTCTTTAAAAACTCCAGCTGGAGTACAAGCTGGAGCTGCTGTGAGGACATGCCTCAGTGTATAACTCCTTGGAAAATCAACATATGAGACCCAGTATAATCTACCGACTCTCAGGATACCATGGCATGCTAATAGACATATGAAATGTACTTTAATAAGATGTTGGGAGGCTGTACTGGGTTTATTATACCCCTAAGAGCAGGTAAGGATGTGGTGTCTGGCAGACTAAGCTGAACTCTTTTTAGAGAGCAGTTTCAGAACAGCAATAACTGCTTAGTCATTTCAGGTTGGTTTGGGAAGAATTTAATCTTTTTTTTTTTTCAAAATGCAAGAGTTAGTTACACTTTCTTTCCCATTTGCACCAAGCAAGTGTCTTTTCTATTTTTCAACCTTCCCTAAATGCATAGGTTCAGCGCAGTGTTGGGGAGCAAGATGTGCCTGGCAGCCGCCGTCTTTTGCGCAGTCATTTAGTTCCTCAGGTGTGCAGGGCATCGGGGTGCGAGCAGGGCAACCCTCACCCTCCTTCTGCACCGTCCTGCGGCTCCGCACATCGTCCTCCTGCATAGCCGGTGGAGGACACTCTGGGCACCCGTTTGGGTGACACCGGCATGGAAAGGGCTGGGTGGGATGTGCCGAGGACACAGCTCCTGCTCGGAGCCAAGGGGGTTTCTGTGCCACCGTAGCGGGGGGAACCGACTTCCCAGCAAGCTGCACACGCTGCTGTTTGGTAGGAAGCCGTTTCAGCCCAGCTTTAAGCAGGAAAAGTGGCCAGGACTGTTTGGCTTGACTGAAGACCAGGAGATCCTTCAGTCCTGGGGGCACCCTCAGGCCTCCTGCGGGACATCAGTGTGGTTGGGAGCTGCATCCCGCAGCCCTTCTCGGGTGCCTTCGCTCCAGCACTGCCCGTGCTCACGTTGCCGTGTGTGATGCTCCTGCATCTCTGGCTACTCCATGTTAGCAGGTCTGAGGGCAGCTCTGCTTGATGCCAGCCTCACTGCTCACCTTTCGGAGGGTTTGAGAGGCATTTGAAACATTTAGCAGTTCTAGAGCTTGGAGGCCTTTCCCTTTGAGAGTAGTCTTGTTGGCCGTGGGGCACCTAGCAGAGCCTGGTGAAGCACAAATGATTCCCTGAGAAATTCCTTACACTCTGGAAAGATTGATTTCCCAAATATCTGGCTCCTCCTGAATACCAGATATTCTTTTTTTAGCCAAGTCCTTGGAACACTTAATGAATCCTTTCCTCACCTCTGTTAATCCTGTTCAAATCAATAGGCACTCAACAGGGAAAATGGTATTTGTGTTGATACTGGATAGCAGCTGCCTGTCACTGCTGGTGATGGCAGGTGGTGTTTTATTCTTAATGTCATTTTCGATTAGGAGCTCCTGTACAATTATATGGCCATTTTTTTTCCCAGGGAATATTTCCCTGCACATAGGATGGCAGATGGCAACCTGACCTAGAGATCGGTCTTTCCTGATTTTGCCTTTGAGCTCTTTTCCTCGGCGAGCGGAACACGAGTGGCTACAACTAGTAGCGCTGCACCCCCTGGGAGATGCAGAACCTCTGTGTGTATGGGACGGGCTGGGGCTCGGAGCCCAGCTGGCTTGAGCAGATCCGAGGTCCCCAGGGTCACCGCCTGTGCGGGTACCGCTGCGGGGGGCAGGCTGGGCGATGCGCTGAGGAGAGCCCTGGATTAGGGGCTGGCAAGGGCTGCGGCTCTATTTGGCAACCAGCACAGCAGAACAACCGCTACTTGACTAGAGCCAACACGGGCAGCTTCTTGTAACAGCAAAAACAGCAAAAGCAGCTGAGGCTCTGCACGCCCCTGCGTGTGAAATCCCAGCACCAGGCACCTCTGTGAGCGTCCTCCTTGGCAGGATGTGGCCGTCAGCGACGGAGCTGCTGTCTGCCAGCCTGCCGCGTGCCTGCCCATGGGCAAAGGTGCCGCTTTGGGAGAGCCCGGGCAGGCCGGCAGCGGTGATTTACGCTCTTGCTGGGGTGCGTGGTGGAATAGCAGCAACCCTTGAGAAGTTGGAAGGGACCCATCAGTGTGTTTTGGGTGCGGGTGAAGTTCGGGCTTGGTCCCCACGCTCCTGCCTAGATGCCAAGCGTCAGCGGGAGCAGAACTGGACAGTGCTTGCTTAGTTTTTATTTGATTCTGTATCCAGTGCAGATGCAGATTGTGGATTGACTCAAGTGGGATCCCTGCTCTTTGCCCGGGGGAATGTTCAGCACCCTTGAATCTGTAACAGAGCTTCCCTTTACTTTGGTAGGCAAGTGCTTGGGCCAGAGACCTGTGGATACTGTGAAACTCTTCAGCCTTACTCCTCTGTCATGCACAAGCTATTATGTTGGAAGGGAAAAGAAATGGAAAAAAAAAAAAAAGGAAAATGGATAAATATGTGCTGAATCCTACTATACCAACAAGGGGGAGACAGGTAATCAGTATGGGGTGCTTTATCTGCAGAGCGGTGCCTTTCATTTTCTTCGCAATACACTGAGTGCCCAAGACACCTGTCTGGCTTGGTGTCAGTTTGGGGGTATAAGGTGTGTGCACCACTGCATCACTGTGCACCACCGCACCACTGTGCACCACCTCATCACTGCACACCACTGCACCACTGTGCACCACCACATCACTGTGCACCACCGCACCACTGTGCACCACCGCACCAGTGTGCACCACCGCATCGCTGCACATCACTGCATCACTGTGCACCACCGCATCGCCATGCACCATCACCTCACTGCGCAGTAGCTTGTCTCAGCGCGTGGCCCCAGCAAAGCAAATCTACTGCAGCAGACTCAAAAGCTGTAAACATATGGGCGCTAACAACAGATTAACTGAGTGATTTAGTCTGAGGGGCTCGATAGATTACCATAAAATGTATCTTAATTAGAAAAGCAATCAAATTTGCATGGAGTTGGTGAGACTGAAATGTCCCTGTGGGCAACAGCTTTCCCCCCCCAGGACAGGATGGGGATGTCAACATGTACATGAATGCCCTGTCGTTACACGTGCTCTGCTGTTTGCCCACTCCGGCCACGAGTGGAGATTGAATTATTTGTTCTTTGACCCATGAGCATCCAGGGAGCTGCTCAAAATGAGACTGATGGTTAAGTCGGTCTCCTTTAGCAGCATCAACAAACCAGAAACAGCTGAAGGTGAAAGAACAGAGCATTTGCACATTTTCCTTAAAAATGTGTGCAATTACCCAAAGATATATTTGAGTGTTTGCCATGTATAGCACAGCTAGTGCCAGTTAAAGGATTGGGGCTTCTAAGTGCTACCATAACACAAATAATTAATAAGTCTATCTTCCTTGCTGTGTCCTCTTATTTTTAGTGAGCATGACCATAATTAGCTTTTACCTGATCCTGAATTTACAGCATGTTCAATTCTTTTTTTTTTCTTTTTTTCCATTCCGCTTATGCTTCCTTGGCTTCCTTATTTTATTGGGCCTGGTTTTATTCTGCAAGTCTGAATCTGCAGCTATAAAAGCTAGGTAATCATCTCCAGCAGTGCAGGTATAAAGATTGCATCAGCCAAGCGCATATTGATGCATTATTGGTTTTGAACAAGTGCTTGCTTTCTCCTGGGCCTGGTAGGATTTGAAGTACTTCGGGAAGTGACACGGGAGATACACAAGAGCTGCCAGCAGCCAAGAGAAAGAAAGGGAAGCCTGATTATTTCCAAATTGCAAGTATTTTGTAACACAAAGGAAATGGGGAGAATTCAGCCAAGGGTTTTTTTTTCCCCTGAGTTTCTGTTTGTTGCCTCTTTTGTGTCTCGAGAACCAGCTACAGCTGCAGGCTTCAGGAAATGGGAGTGAAAAGGTGTGAAAAGGAGACAGGCAAGATATGTGTGGAGAATCAGAGCGAGGATGAACATGTAGAGGAAAAAGATGACTTAAATTGTCCCGATGAAGTGTGTCTAGCAAGATAAGGAATCTTCTTTCAGTTAAGGACAATGATATTATAATTTCCTTAATGAATTTATTTAGATGTTCTATATGATGAACTGTTGTGACGCAGAGCAGTGCCATCTCTGAGACCAGAATATGAGAGAAGTTGAGAAAGAGGAAAACGAGGTTTTAATTTTGAAAATGTGCCTTGCTCAAAATGTTCAC